AGTACTGTGGGCTTGGAGGGAGCCAAGCCCATGGATGAAAGGGTTAAATGTAGTGTCTGAGGAGGAGGCCAGTACCTAGCCCAGGCAGGAGAGCCGTTTCCCTTATCTCCCCGGGGGGGGGGGGGCTGGCGGGCAGAGACAGAGCTGTATGAGGCCCCTATCTATGGGTCTACGAGACAAAGACGTTAGTCTGCAGACTTGGGCCCAAAATGCGTAACACGTGAGGCTGCAAACACATTATATTGCCCCTGGTGCCATTTACCTTCCCTGAGCCACTGTGCCTCCAGGCCTTCCAGAATAGAAACGTAGCAGCACAGCAATATGTCTAAAAATAGGAGAGAGTGAGCAGGGCAGCCTGTTCTTACAGTAGGAGAAAAGAATGTCAAAGGAAGCAGCTGGGACTAATGAACTCCGCATTAGCCATATTCCGTTCTTTCAACTCAAGTCAAACGTCGGTCCCCATTAGGCAATTGGCTTTGACAGGAGCTGTGCTAATTACCACTTACCAACCTTTAATTTCTGGGGAAAAGCAAAAGGAAAAAAAACTAATGGGTTTTTCATTTTCCAGAGAGAAAGGGATAAAATAATAGTAGTCTGGGAAAAGAAAAGCTGCATGAATTACAAAAATGATTAATGTGACTTTTCTAACCAGATTGCTTAGCTGTTTTATTTCTTAGCCATCCACTCAATTTTTTCTTTTGGCCTTCAGGGTTTTTTCTCCATTCTATTTTATTTGTAACATTTTGCCTTTAATTATCTTGCTGTGTCTTGTATTACCTGAAGTGTTTAAGGACTTTGTAAGTGATGTGTTCTGAACACCCAGCCACTGCCTGAGTCCTCTGACAGTGGGGTCCTCCGTCCCGCTGGAAGGCCTTCAACGAGGGGGATAGACTCGTTCCCAGGAAATGCATTGAATTTTCAGATTGCAGAACCTCAGAGTTCACTGCTCAAACTACATCAGAACACACTTTACAGGGGCGCCCGGCTGGCTCCTTTGGTAGAGAACATGGGACTCTGGTTCTCAGGGTTGTGAGTTCAACCCCTGTGCTGGGTGTAGGGATTACTTGAAAATGAAATCTTTTTTAAAAAGAACACACTTGGCAATTACAAGGAAGTGAACCAACAGGTTAATGAATAGATACTGGATTTTCCTCAATATTTCCCAATACCATGTTCCAAGAACTATCACTAAAAATCTAGTTTTTCGGGGCGCCTGGGTGGCTCAGTCGTTAAGCGTCTGCCTTCGGCTCAGGTCATGGTCCCAGGGTCCTGGGATCGAGCCCCACATCGGGCTCCCTG